GGGGGGCCGCGCATGTGCCCATTTAGTATTAAAGGAAAATGGGGGAAAACTGTTTTTCTCTATTTGTTTATATAATAAAGTGTGAATCGGCTGTGTAAAGTGCTTACATTGATTATAACTGCGTGTGCTGTGAAAATGATTTAATGCAGAAGCTGAGTGTGTGACGATTGAATAAAGAGTGTGTTTGGTTTTATATTTTAAAAAAGTAGAGAAACTGCAGTCTGTGGCGCAGCTTGAGAAGTTGTGAAGTGCAAGAGCCGCGCCAAGAAAGGTGGGGCTGTGAGTGTGTGTGGTGTGACAGGAAGTTTGCATGCCCATACAAGGAGAGAGATGAGTTCAACTCTAGGCAGATAAAAGCGAATGGAGGTTTTAAGAAAAAGAAATGAAAAGGATATTAATCGTATGTTTAGTGCGTTAATACAGGTTACAGATAAATAAAGGTGGACTTCTCTCAACTTGGAATTTGAGTACGGCGCCAAAAACAGTAGAGTAGCATAATTGGGAGAAAACAGGCCAGATTTTGGCTTAAAGTTTTAGAGCTTGACCTCGCACTTGTCCCCATCCTGAGAAGACGCTCAAAGGACAGTTAATCTCCTGATGAAGACCAATAAAACATCGTGAACTTGAGAAGAATTTACAAGCAGCTAAAAGACAGTGCAACTGAACCGTTAACACTGAAACCAAACTGAAGGACCAGCATGGAAGGAACTACGAGATGGGAACATGCACTGTGAATTACAGGCTGGGCAGCTGAACTGTGGGAAAGCACTGGACACTAATTTTCAGATCTGCCATGCTTGGAGTAATCTTGAAAGAGACGACTGAAAGCATCAACAGAAAAGAAGAAGCCACGTGATGAAACATGGACGGCGAAAGTGCAAGTACCCTCCTCTGACTAAATCGGTTTCAGTTATGTACTGAAATATAAGAATGGACATTAGAGGCTTCTTTCAAAGAAAAACTCAGGCTGGGACTTAATCCAAAAGGAAAATACCGAAGAGAAACAGAGAAGAAACGGACTGGTGTTTGCTGGAGAATTCAAGACAACAAAAGGACACTGAGAGAAGAGGACAGGGACCAGTAGTGAAGGTGAAGCCGGACGAGTTCGACTTGCGAGAATACAGGGTATAATTGGAGTGAAATGAAAACCTGAACTCATGATGGTGTTTAGAGATGTCCACCAGAAAACTAAAGAGGTAAACAAAAAGAAGGTAAAATGAAGAGAGAAAATAACTGACAATTACATGAATGAATGGAAACACGAGATAGTTTTGAATTAAGAAATCAGTGAAATGATGCATGAATTAATCCTGACTATAACATACAGAGGCAATGAAGAAAGCAGCTTACACTCACTGAACATTAACAAAAATACATAGGAAAGCAATGAAGACCAGCTTACACTTATACACATGACATAAGCTGGTATGTCTGACCAGAGAGAGGGAAACTGGTAGTTTAAGTACTCGTGATAATAATAAATGTCTCAGTTGTGTTTCTTCAGGTGCAAAACAGACCTGGATCGATTCTCCACATGCAGCGGTCGGAAGAAAGTTATAGGTCAACATGATTGAATATGTTAAGGCAAGTTTCTGGTTGAATTGTTCACAGTGCCATGTCTCCATAAACCTGACAAGTGGGCCCTAACTTCTGAGGACCAGGAATGCTGTTAATAAGGTGGGGACTTAAAATTTGAGTTAGCAAATTTGGGAAAGAAAACTGACGGCTTAAGTGGAGAAATGTGCAGGAGTCTGAAACACTGCAAAAGTAACATATGCAAATTCACATACACAAGCAGAAAATGCATTTACCTTACAAGGACAAGCTCATAGAGATTAATGCAGAGACATTGATTAAACCGGGCTAAGAACACAAACATACGCAATAACACACAGCTTGCTGTTTGTATGAGTATTGGGTGAATGTTTAATAGAATACATTTGAGTTTGAAGTTGAGGAAGTTGCATGATTATATGTTGTCGTAAGGGGGTTATGTCTTATGTTGAATCTAGGCATGTTAGAGTGCATAAAAGGGGGTGATTGTTGTGTGTGCAAATTGTGGGGTTTTAACAAGACTTTAGGTGTATTGAGGAGGTGTAATTATGTGAGTTGACCCGGGAGTGTCAGACTGCGTGGCAATATTTGTGTGTTTGAGGTTGTTGAGGTTGTGGTGATGGTTGATTCTGTCAGTGAGGTTCGGGTTGTTGTTGTTTTGTTTTTAATAGAGGGAGTTTTAGGAACATGGACATGTCTGAGAGGGGCCCATTATTTTTGTAACAGTGCACTTAGAGAAAACCTGTCAGGTGATTTTGTTTTGTGTTTTTATGAGCTAATAATCAGCTCTCTTTTTTCTCGTTTTTGTTCTAAGCAGGCCTGCAACAGTGAATAACAGCGCTGACAAATTCTCGGAAGAAGCAAATATAAGGTGGGCTTTCCAGATTACAACTGGCTGAGGAGAAAGCTACCTGTGGGGACCTGATCAGGTCGTAAGTCCCTGTCTAAAAGGATTGTAGCGAGTCAATCCAGTCCAAAACCTAAGGAACTATTTTTACAGGAAAATAAAAATGAAGGAGCTCATTTTGCTGAGGGTGGAGAATCTGATCACTTGCGCGGGAGGCTCCGCTATTAGCAAAATATGGTGTGACTGCATGTGAGTGAATGTGTGACTGGATGAAGGAGGGGAGGAATAAATGTGGACAAACAATTTGCTTTTACCAGAGAAAGTTTCTGTTTTATTGAGTTGGGTTAGATTATGGGATTATAGTATACTGGTATTGTTGGGAGAATGCCAAATGCTAAAGGGGTATGTGTCAAAATAAAGGAAATGTGTCAAAATAAAGGGGAATTTAGGGTTTAATAATTTAATTGTTTAATCATTTGGGATCATTGTATGACTTTTGGGTTTTGGTCATTTGGATATGGTAAAACAGAAACTGTTATTTTTATGTTAAGGTTAAAGGAGTAAAGTGAACTGAATCCTGTTTATTAGATACAATGCCAGTGGTTTTAAAGCTGTATACAAATCTTAGAGGGAAATTGTGGGACACGTTGACAAAAAGATATGTTTTGGGGAAAATTAGTGAGGGTTGAAGAAGGAGAACAGGTTTGATTTCTTTTTTGATTTTTAGAAGTAGTGGTTATAAGGTAGGCTTACACATACAGATATTACATAGATTTATTTTTAGGATAAAGGGGAGAGCTTATAAATAGAGATGATTTTTATACATATTGCATTTTGTGCCTGTTAGGTATTTTAGTACCATGGGAGCATTTACTGGATATTGTTTTATAGTGACATTATGCAGGAAAACTCTGTCATTCAATAAGGCCCCTTTGTTTCAGTGTTTTTCTCTTTGACCCAAGAATTGATGTGTGAGAATCACAGGCTGGTACAAGGTTGAAATACCACAGAGATCACTCCTCAGCTACATTAGTTTCTTAATCTTTTAGACGCCTGTTGAAGGCCAAATGGTTTGTTTCAGATTTCACTAATGTAAGAACTCTTCGTTTTGTGCCTTGAAAATATGTCGCTGAGATAATCACAATTGTAGCTGAACTAATAAACTACACAAAGGATGCTTCTTCACCCAAGGGCAGGAAGACGCTGCCTTATCTTGGTCTGTACTGGTTTAAACTGATAATCTGCTGTCTCATGAATTTTACCCTCTATATAAACTGTTGTACTTGTGAATAAAGTTGAGTCACTTTGGGAAGACAATCTAAAGCAGTCTCTGTTTTCTTGTTCTCCCAAGCTGCTCCCGAGCTCTCGTACTAACACGCTGAATGGCATGCTTGAATATTACTTGAGAATATATTTGACTGTGTTACAGACTAAGGGACATTCTCTGCTGATAGGTGAAGGTACATTCTCTGCTGATAGACGTCCACGCCTCGGAGGAAGCCGATCCACGGAGTAGGCCCTGGAAACAGTTTCCTTCAATTTTGGTGTCAGAAGTGGGATCCTGACGAAGGTAGGCACTTGTCTTTTTATTTTATAAGACTGTGTTATGCCTTTCTCAGTGATCCACATAGAAACGGGATACGCTGACGAGGCCTTCTTCAGTGGCCCACATAGTAACAAGTGGGATACACTGAGGAGCCTTATTTAGTGGCCCACATAGAAACACAGGAAGTTGCCTGTTGTTTTGTAAAATAAAAGCAGAAAGGACACAGGAAGTTGCCTGCTGTCATAAACTAAGAAGTTGCTCACCAGCAGAAAGGACACAGGAAGTTGCCTGGGGTCATAAAACGAGAAGTTGCTCGTTAAAAAGTGAGAAGCTGCTCACTAAAAACATAAAATTGCTAGCAAAAAATCAAGTAACCTCAGGTGTGCCACAGCAAAAATAAAACTAACTTAAATCCTTCAAAGCGTCTAAAC